ATACATACATACATACATACATACATACATACATACATACATACATACATACATACATAAAGTCACAACCCCTGGTATGCCCAAATATGGGAGGAAGTTCACTGCTTCCATTCTCTGTCCATCGGCTCGTCACAAGAATCCCAGTAAGGGTATGGCTAACTGATGAGAGCTAAATAGCTTGAAATAGATCTATACTAGTCTCCCTTTATTTATTTATCAGCACAAATACAACATACACAAACACACACACACACATACACACACACACACACAAACACACACACAGTTTTTGGTGTATTTGGGTCTTTTCCCATGTACAATTGAGTGAAAAGACCTGAATACACCAAAACCTGCATACCTGTACCCATGAAAATCTACGAATATATATATCCCAAATAATTATAAAAGGGACTAACCAGCTGAATAAGTGAGCACTGCTAGCTTTTCTCGCAGAGATTCATATGGCAACTTTTCTGAAAGTTTCCTATTTGTGTCTGTTCAAAACATTAGAATTGTAGCTTCTACAATTAGTCAATCAACTCTTGTGGTTTATCACAAATTACCTGATGACCTGGCATTGTCCGGGTATTTATTTTTCCTAATCCTGTATTAGACATGAAAAGGAATAAATGATATCTATAGTGTCGTGTGAACCCCCACGCTCCCCACCAACCCCCGTATGTGCGCACTACTCACATCCCATGCACCATTCTGGCCCTAGTAGGCCTCCTTGCATCTTCCTGGGAGCCAAACCAGGCTGTGGGGGGTCGCTCCACCCCCTGTGACCCTTTTTGGGCTTAGTAGGCCTCCCTGCAGCCTCCTGGAAGAAAAAACAGGCCATGGGGGGCTCACGCCTCCCCCCCTGTGCTCCCCCCAACCCCACGCATGCGCAGCAGTGACCTGAAAATCAGCTAGTAAGCAGGAGGCATGCATGCATGCACGGTGAAGCTGAACTGGGCTCTGCATGCCACCTGTATGCCAACACACCCACACAAAGGGGTGTTAGAGGTGTCTTACCCACACAGGTTTGGTTGAAATTGCTCAAGGTTCTCCAGAGTTATGCTGGAACATATACACACAACTATTTTTATGTATATAGAAGATTCAAAAGTCCTCTCTCTTACCACTTCAGGCAGCAAATGAAGAGTTTCACATTTGTTCTAACCAGTGTCTTGTTTTTCTGTTTGTTTGTTAACAGTGCAATGGGCCTTGTGTTGGCTCTCGTCTGGCACTCCAGCACAGGCAGGTTTTTTGCCAGACCAGGGATGGGGTCTCTGTGCCTTCGGACCAGTGCAGTTCCCTCCCGAGGTAGGTCCCACTGACACCTTGAAAATACCAGAAGCCCTGTCTTCTGGTTCTCGCACAATAATGCATGATAATTGCCAATCACAATGAATGCTTTTGTCTCACCGGTTATATAAAAAGTCTCCAGCGCCCTCCTTGGTTAAATGATGTAGAAGGATCATGCTTCTTATTTTTTTCTCCCCCCTGCATCATAACCATCTGCCTTCTCTGCAAAATACATGCTTTTCTACTCTCTTCCTAATGTTTGAATGTATTTGCATTTATCTGTGTACAGACATATGGCTGAAGCTCCAAAGGAAAGACATTTTAATTCTGAGGGTTGACCTTATAGCTAGCAACATTGGAACATGTTATACAACTTCATAGCACTGTCTCTATACCCTTTTGTAAGCCATTTTTTGTTTGTGATTATTTTCTAAAATCCAAACATCTCTGAAATTGATCCCAGCTCCTGTGCGGATAATCTTGAATCCGTTTCCCTAAAGCAGGAGTGTTAAACTCCAGGCCTACGGGCCGGATTCAAGGTGCTTACATCTGGCCCATGGGGCCGCCCTGAAAACAACCAAGGACTGGCCCACGGGGCCTCTTCCAGCCAAAAGAGCCGAGGTGGCGCAGTGGTTAAATGCAGCACTGCAGGCTATTGCTAGATCAGCAGTTCAGCGGTTCAA